TTTTGCCTGTGTTGGGCCTTTGTTGCTGCGCGCAGGCTTTCTCTAGTTTCGGCGAGCGGTGGCTACTCTTCATTGCGGTGCGTGGGCTTCTCATTGTGGTGGCTTTGTGGTGGTGTGTGGGCTTCAGTAGTTGTGGCACATGGGCTCAGTAGTTGCGGCTCACAGGCTCTAGAGCTCAGGCTCAGTAGTTGTGGTGCACAGGCTTAGTTGCTCCGTGGCATATGGGATCTTCCGGGACCAGGGCTCGAACCCGTGTCCCCTGCAGTGGCAGGCGCATTCTTAACCACCGCGCCACCAGGGAAATCCCATTCTTTATACCAGGAGCTGAGGGCATAAGGTGCTGGGCCCCAAGGCCTGAGCCAGCCTCGGGGCATGTTTTGTGTTGCTATGATCTAGAGGGGGAGATGGACGCTGAGCCAGAAGTTACAGGTGTGCTGAGTGCCATCTGAGGAGGAAGACTTTGAAAGCATTGTAAAAGGGAAAACTCACCTGGTTCGCGGGTTAGAGAATCAGAGAGAAAATACCTTTAAAGCAGAGATCTGATGGAGAATAGGCATTAGCAAGACAACGAGAAGAGATGTGCTTCAGGGGGAACAGGTGTGTGGAAAGGCCAGTAAGGGCAGAGCCTGGAGGCCGAGGAGGAGAGACTAGAGATGGATCTCACATTGAGGAGTTTGGGTGAGCAGTTGGGAGCCTCTGGAGTAGCTAAGTGGGGAAGCGACTTGGTCAAATCTGCATTTTAGAAAGATCACTTTGGCTGCTGTTCGGCGAAGGGAACGTGGGAGCAAGTCGGGGAGACCGATTAGGAGCCTGTTACCATTGTCTTGGTGATGGGAGGTCATGGTGGCACCATGGGCTGGCAGTGGGCTAGCAGGAAGCAGGCAACTTTGCCTGGGAGTCCAGGACATCAGGCCCAGGTGTTTGCCCTGAGGCTATGAGAGCCATTCTCTGACTACGGGAGGAGGCGGCGACTGGGGTCAGTGGATCTCCAAGACGCCACCAACACACCAGCCATGCTCAGCAGACTGAGATCATGGAAGGAAGATGGAGACTAACCTGTAGGAACAGGGAGGCAGATATGGAAAGACTGAGGAAGAGGATGCTGGGCAGAGGCGCCTGGGAGGATGATAGCAATTAAAACTGAGCTGAAGCCAGGGCTGGGGGCGAGAGGGAAGAGAATGGAGCATAGGAGGGCAGGGCACTGACTGCGCCCACCACTTGGGAAGGTAAGGTAGTGGACAGGGATCCAGCCCCGGCCTCTGTGACTGAGCCAGATCCCTTCCCAAGACAGAAGCATCTTTCCCTCTGACGATCTGATGCTGGTTGCCTGAGGACCTTGCTTCTCTCACCAGGAGGAGTGGAGAGACCATCAGACACCCCTCTAGAAATCACAGGAGTTGTCCACCTCCAGGCAGAGCGTGAGACGGCAGGTGGATATGGTCTTATGGTTTCCTCCACACAGAAATTACTTTTTCCCCAGGAAGGAACCCAGTGTGTGAGAGGTACCCTTCGGGTCCCCTCTTTCTCAAAGCGTTAGTCCTCCTTTCCGACCTTTATCAGGGGCTATAGTAGGCATCTTAAAAGGCAAGCGCTTTTCTCTCATTGCCAGCCTGTTATGGCTAGAATACCAAATCTGAGCAAATAGCTCTCTGTGTGCTGTCGTCTCTGATTATTTTTTTTCTCTGGGATATATCTGGCTCCAGGCAAACTGTGCCTGACTGTCTCCTTGTAAGCACCATTCAGTTGAGGACACTGTGAGTGAACAGGGCCCAGTAATTGAGCGCCTCCTATCTCCGATTCAGCTTTCTGATCTCTCTCTACCCAGGCCAGTGGTGTCCTGCTTGAGGACTTCTCCCTGAGCGACAGATTTGCTCCTTCAAGACTCCAGTCCCTGGTTCCATCAGCCATCCAAAGCCTGTGTACTTTGGGAAGTCGGCGGGAAATTCAGCCGTCTTCTAAAGATATAGATTAACTGCACATCTGTCAGGGTTTAGTTAAACATGACTGACTAATTTATCCTGCAGTGTGAGATGGGGATTCATTTCCTTTGCAAGTTGACTTGGCAATTTTCTCTGCTCAAAGAACATTTAGAATAGATGGTGTGCATGGCAATCAGGAAGAAATAGATACTATTAATTTTCCATTTTTCAAATGTGAGATTGACTATACAGCCCATATCCCATTCTCCTCGGAAAAACAGACCACCTCCTCTCCTGTTTAGAGCTGTGCACTGTCTGAAAAGTCAGAAAAGAGGGCCTTCTAGTCCCAGAGGGTCTGAGTTGGGGCCGATAAGCATGTTAGTGGGGGCCTGCGCCCGGGGGCCAGTCCTGGTACCTGGCAGAGCCGTGTGGCGCCACCATCAGCCACAGTTCCTCCTCCTCCTCCTATGGCTCAGCATGAGGTGTGGGTTCCCAGCTTGAGCGAGCTTGAGATCTCCTTCCTCGGCTAATCTCTACAGATTGGAGGGAAGGTCTGGAGGCACAGGCTTGCGTGCCAGGATATCATGATGGACCTCCGAAAGTTGGAAATCCCAAAGGGATAGCTAACTTAATCCAGCGCTCGCCATACAGTGTTCTGCCGTGATGGAAATAGTCTGTATCTGCGCTCTCCCAGATGGAGTCATTCGCTAGCCGCATGTGACTGCTGAGCACTTGGAATGGGGTGGGTGCAACTGAGGAACTAAAGGTTGACTTTTACTTCATTTCGCATGTGACTGCTGAGCACTTGGAATGGGGTGGGTGCAACTGAGGAACTAAAGGTTGACTTTTACTTCATTTCGCATGTGACTGCTGAGCACTTGGAATGGGGTGGGTGCAACTGAGGAACTAAAGGTTGACTTTTACTTCATTTCGCATGTGACTGCTGAGCACTTGGAATGGGGTGGGTGCAACTGAGGAACTAAAGGTTGACTTTTACTTCATTTTAGAAAATAGCCACATATGGCTCATGGTAACTCTGTTGGATAGCACAGGTATCTGTGTTCACCCGTTTCCTGTGTGGCCAAAGCCAGTTGTGTTTAGGTGTATTTGTCTTACTGGTTTTCTGAATGCTGTTCTATTTGCTCCAAACTTACTGATAAGTTGTCAGTTTAAAAATAAAAACAATCGTAGAGGTAATAAAACTCATAGCTGGCACATGCTGAGTAATTGCTATACACCATGTGCTTTGCTAAGCCCTCTAACACACCTCATCTCATTTATAGCCACATAATGATACCCTGAGTTTACGGATGACGAAACGGAGGTGCTGAGGGGTGAAGTGGCTGGCTGGAGTCACCCAGCCAGCCAGTGGTCAAGCTGGGATTCACAGCAGGCAGTGAGACCCCAGAGCTCTTATATAGTCTGCTGCCTCTCCCGACAGATCTCAGTGCCATTGCCTGCCTGGTGTTTTAAGATACAGTCACGTCCTGGTTGTCGAACGCCAGGTATTGTCTTGAGGTCATTAGTAACCTGCGTATAAACAATGGCCACACACTCCATGCTTTACAGAGTTTAGCTCCGGCTCCTGGCTGGAAGGAAGGAAGCAGCTATCCATGTGCACTGAAGTTGCACAGACCCAGTCTGGGTCTGCTCACCACCTCCCCTCAGATGGAGGGCAAGAGAGTCCTTTCCTGCCTGAGGGCTGGGAGGTTTGGCTCGTGTTCTCCATCAAGGACCAAGCCCCAGGCTCAGGAAAGATGCGCTTTCCTGAAAGCAGACATGAACTATAAAAATGAGGAGAGGCTCTGCAGAGTATTGTCTTCTGGAGAGGATTCATCCCTTTGCAGCTCAGATGGGGGCTGGTCGCCTCAGTTCAGTGAGACCCTGCACTTAGTGAAGGCCGGATGGGAGTTTGAGCGAGACCCTCTCTGCTCATTCGTCACTACCCCCATGGCTTCCACTGGGGTCTCTCTGCACTGATAGGTTCTAGCCTTAATCTGCATCTTGTCAGCACCATGAGACATTCAGAACCTGGCTCTGCATTGTAATGTGGCTTGCTTGGCTTCACAGCCTGACTCCTGCAGCTTTAGAATTTGGGAAAACTGACAGTTGTGGGGTTCACTTCCTATTTACTGAGGCTTTACCTCCTCAGGTCTCTAATTCCTGTCCCTCCGGATGTGAACAACCGCTAAATGCATTGCTGGTTTTCCTGCCTCTTGGGAGCGGCCCACTGCCTGGACCCTTTGTCAGCATTCTCAGCACCCAGAATTAGGGTAGGGTAAAATCAGGCAGCTAGGGAAAGTCAGCTCCCTCCTCTGCACCATTGTCCCTCCTTTGGGGATTTCTCTCCTCCAGTCTTAGCTCTCTATGAGACTGTCAAATAGCCTGCACCCACCTACCCATCCACCCATCTGGATTTTCTTCTTGTTCTCAGGAGTATTCGTTGGCCTCGCTCTGTCATACCCTAAAAGATAAGCCGGATAGCTAAAGATGGGCTGCATATAGAAAGGACTCTTCCAGGGACAAGGCATCCATCTGTCCATAGGGGAAAGTCAAGTCAGTCTGTTCAAAGGCCGGCAACATAAGCCACATCCACAAACCCAAACGTGGGCTAAAGCAAAATCGAAAGTCGCTCTTACTGGAATCTTTTGGTGTCCCAGGCAGCCTTTCCCTAAGAGCATTAGCTATTCCTAAATGTTAATCTCTTGCCATGAGTTCAGTGGAAAACATCTTCTCTGGAAACTGCAATAGCAACTCTGATCGGGTTAGCAAAAGGGACCCGTGACGGTCTTTGGAGGCTGGTGCATGATCGCGAGGCCATCCCAGCTTGCTTTCAGAGTGCCAAGGCAGTCCAAGTTCAGTTGTGCATGGTGCTGCTTGCCATGGGCGTCTCGGCTCTCACTTTGTCATACTCTCTACCTGTGAGAGCAGCATCTTTGGGGCATTTTCACAGTGGCAATCAAGGAGCTATATCCTGGTTGGAGAGGGAGGTCTGTTTGGAGCATCACATGTTGAGAGTAGAGAGTTCAAAAGAGGAGAAGGCCCACGGACTCACTGTTTCTTCCATCTGCTTTTCTCCAGCCTGCACGGACAAGGAGTTGAGGAACCTCGCTTCCCGGCTCAAAGACTGGTTTGGAGCCCTCCATGAGGATGCAAACAGGGTCGTCAAGCCCACCAGCTCCGACACAGCCCAAGGCAGTAAGACCCTTTACTCTCGCTAATTGACCTCATTTTAAACACCACATTCCCTCCTCAGTTATTGGATGTTGTTGATTGACCACCCCGAGATGCTGTTGTTAAAAGAAACACTAAGTTAAATGTAGACACTGACTTGAAATGTGCCCCAGTTTCAGAAATATTAAAATATGGAGGAGAGGGAAATGCCTAAGAATCAAGAAAATACTACAACAACTTATGCTTTTTAAAGTCTGCTTGCAAAATTATCATGTGTTTAGTACAGTCCTTTTGGAAAATACATTTAAGTATATGTAAAGATACCAAACTACTGTGTATAAAATAGATAAGCAACAATATACTATATAACATAGGGAATTATAGCCATTATCTTGTAATAACCTGCAACAATACTGAGTCACTACGCTGTACACCTGAAACTAAGACAATATTGTACATCAACCATACCTCAATTAAAAAATGTATAGAAACACAGCATTTTAACAACTGTAAGCACGTCGTGGCATGGCATATACTTCAAATGTTCCCTTGCCACGTAGAAAAAAATATTTATGTCTGTGTGTGTGTGTGCATACACACACACACACACACACACACACACACACCCACGCACACACTTTACAGACTGTCTTATGGCCTTCTTTTATCATCCAGCAATACACTATGACTATCTTTCTAGGCAGCTGAGTAGTATTCTGCCTTGTAATCACTATATAGAATCTCAATGTATAGATACAACATAATTTATGTAACTAGACCTTTATTTGGGAGCTTTGAAGTTGTTCCTAATGTTCAGCTATTATAAGCAACACGGTAGCAAACATCTTTGATAACTTAGGTCTATGGATGTTAATCAGATTGCATTTTGTTTTCCATAGATAAACTCCCAGACAAGTGTTCCCTCCACCGTCACTGAACTGGCAGAGACCATACCCAGAGCCTCTCCATAAGCTGGAGAGAAAACTCAGAGTAGGTCTGCCTGTTTGTACCTTGACAGAGCCTCTCACTGCCTTTAACATAAAGGCCATTAGGGGAGAGCTCCTGCACACTGTGGCCGATTGGCACAGAACAGCTTAGTCAACAATACAGTTGTTGAGCTGCGCGGAGCTTTGCCATAGCCTCTTCTGGGTAGAGATTTTTATATTGATTTGTCAAAATATAAAAACACACGTTATTTAAAGCAGAGAGTATAAAGCAGAGAGTATTTCACCCCATCCCTGATGCCACACTTGTGTGGACAGGATTTCTGAGTGTAATGCTCCTGGATTGAACTAAGTAGGTAAGAAGTGATACTGGCAATTGGTGGGACCCAGAGTTTAACCAGCATCTGGTCTTCAGGCCAAATTAGAATGAGCTTCTTAATTTCGGGTTTATCCTTTGCTGTTCATAGCCATCTAGAGATACTAGTTGAGAATGTTGATCCTAGGGGACAATTCTTTCACCAGTTTGGAACTTTTTTACCTTAAGGGAAAGGTAGATTCTGGGAAGCACATGCTAAGTGTCCAAAGAGTGGGTCCTGGGGTTGTAGTATCTGTGGGAAGGGGGATGTAAGGAGTCTGTCTTTCCATCCCTGCCAAAGGTTTCCTTGGGAGTTTGTGGACAGTTAATTCACAGGTAGTCTCTAGAAGCTTTTCCCAGGGGTCTTCCAGGAGCCGCTGAGTCCCCGGGCTTTCTGAACGACCTTTCCATGAAGAGCAGATTGACGTGAAAGAGCTGCTCCTTGCAGCCTCCAGTCGTGGGAGGCCCCTTCTGCCTCCTGGGGAGCCAGGGAGCCTGCAAAAGGCCTGCCCTTGGCCACAGGCAAATCAAGTCCCTGAAGAGGTTTTTAGGTTGGATGTCCTGAAGCAACTGGAGCCAAGGGATATAAAGGAATGACACGTGGTTAGCCCACGAGGCACAGGAGGGAGAAAAGTTTTTGTCAGTCCAGGAGTTCTGAAGGGGAAAACCACGGAACCCTAGAAGCGCCATGAGCTCGGGGCCAACCAGAAGGGCTGCTCTGTTCTCCTGGATATCAGATGCAGGTGCCTCTTTTCTAGAGCCTTCCAAATTTGGCACTTATTTTGGTGGTCAGTCAGCAGTATTAAAATTTCCCTTTCCTGTGTATTAAAATGGTAATATCCTACAACATTGATGCATACTACATAAAATATTCTCTACAAAAGTGTGGAGCCATTTAGTGTCAGAGTCAATTATCGTGCTTTATTCAGTCGCCCCTGAGGACATCATCATCACAGAGATTGTTCAGTCATGACCTTCAGTCAAAGAAGAGGCCAGATGATGTTCCATAGTCTCTCTTCTTGAAAATCAGGATCTTTTCTAAGATGTGCTTTAAGATATCAAAAGGTATAACTTTAAAAATGGAAAGATTTTTGTATGTTGGAACGGGTAAGTAAACTTTGCAGTAGCTAGAAAACTTCTCTCAACAAGTTCTCCTGTTGAGCACTTCCTGTGTGCCTGTACTGGCTTCTGGACAGCCAAGACCCTGTTGTAAAGATGCTACTTTAAAGGGTGGGCACGCTTTGCTCTGTCTTCTTATATATCCTGCTGACTAAGCAGGGGTTCCTGGTGAGGCACGTACAGCCTGATGAGCAGGCTGTAGGTTAGAACCCTAGAGGGTCAATCGATCCCATCAGGTTCCTCAGTGACAGTCACTGCGGCAGCCCTTAGCATTGCTCATCCCTAAACTTGGCGCCCAAGCCAACTGGATGTCCTCAGGGTAGGAGGCTCCTGTGTCATGCGAAGCAGAGGCAGCCCTGGGAGAGGAGGGACTGAGAATGTAGACTCAGGGTTGGGCCACCTGGGCTTGAATTCCAGCCCCACAATTGTATGACCTTGAGCAAGTAACTTAAATCTTGAGCTTCTTTTCTGTAATCCATAGGGAGGATAAAGCATCATCTCTTAGGGCTGCTGTAACAAGGATTCAGTGAAATAATTAAGTATAAAATGCTGAGAAGAGTGCCTTCAGTAACACAAAAGTGAACTCTTCATCATTTTCTGGGGGAAAAAAAAAACCAGTCCTAGAAATCCAGATTATGGAATAATTTAACATTGCCTGGTGCTTTGATTCCAAAAGAAAGATGAGTTTTACATGTGGGGTATGCCTTCCCTGGGGTTTGTCTACAGTACACTCAGTATCCCGAGTGTTAAGCCAAGTGTTATTATTCGAGCGCATACAGTGTCCACTGTAGAAACAAATAATTCTTTAAGAAAACCAACCCTCCTCCCCGCACCCCGGGAAATAAAAAAGAAATAATTTTCTGAGCCATACATGATTCCATGTCATGTATCTCTTGAGGGGACTGTAGAAAAGAAATAAAAGAAAAATGGGGAACAGAGGCAGGTACCCTGGCTTGTTTTCCCATTCATGTTCAGACTGCCTGGATTGAACAGTCCTTTGGGATATAAGCGGTGCTTCTGGATTGTGCCACATATTTTCATCTCGCTGCCATCCTTTTACGATAGTTTTTTTTGTTTTGGTTTTTCGAGTAGTTTTTTTCCCTCAGTATAAAAGCATAGTTTGCAGTATTATCCGTTAGTCCTCTTACTCACCATGTTTGTACGCTTCCTTTTTCAGGCATCCCCCGTTTTAAGCAAGTCTGGTAAATGAAAATCCCTGTTTACATCACAGATACATTAGGATTGGGGATTTATTCCCTTTAGAACATATTCTCCTCAAATGCTGACTTCTGTTTTAGCACATTTTAGATCGTTTCATTTAAAAAACCAACCAACCACCACCACATGTTCTGGTAGAAGGCTGCTGAGACTGTACCCGTGGAGGGGGAAAGCACCAGGGGAGGAGGTAGAGAGGGTGGGCCCTGGGGCTCCTTTGGGGGCAGAAAGCTGGGGAGCAAGCAGGGCAGGAGAGAGCGGGCTTGGTGGCAGCTGAGACATGTCCTTCCCTCTACAGGGTTTGACACCAGCATCCTTCCCATCTGCAAGGACTCCCTGGGCTGGATGTTCAACAAGTTGGACATGAACTATGACCTCCTGCTTGACCACTCAGAGATCAACGCCATCTACCTGGATAAGTACGAGCCCTGTATCAAGCCCCTCTTCAATTCCTGTGACTCCTTCAAGGATGGCAAGCTCTCTAACAATGAGTGGTGCTACTGCTTCCAGAAGCCTGGAGGTAAGGCAGGAGGGAGGTGGGGCCCAGAGGGCAGGGCCACCATGCTGTGCAGGGAAGGGCCCCCTATCACATCCTGGGGAGATAGACAGGGATCAGCAAGCAGAAAGACACAGCTAGAGAATAAAGCAAATGCTCTTTTCTCCTCATTGACCTCCACTTTCAGCATAGTAGGGAAAACCCAGGAGCATAATTAAGGAGTGTGTTAATAATTAAGGAGTGTGTTAATAATTAAGGAGTGTGTTATTCCACTCCTCCTTTTAGGAAAATCTTTTAACTGTTGTGCCTCAGCTTTTCCATCTGTAAGATGGGCGTAGAAACCTTTGCTACATAATTCCCAAAGTCAGTGTAAGATCCTTCATGTCTTTGTTTTTTGTACATTTTCTTCAGATTAGGTTCTTAGGTGTTTCTGTTTGGTTTCAGTGGGAACTCTCTCTATACTAAGACATTAGAATTGGTCTCATCACAGGTATTGCAAATAGCTTTTTTCCCCGAATTTGACTATGGGCATTTTCGCTAGGGTGAAATTTAAAATTTTAAGATAGTCAAATTTCTCCATCTTTTATTTTGGGGCTTCTTAGAAGCCATAAGGCTTACGTTAAGCTTAGAAAGGCATTTCCCACTGTGAGATAGTAAAGCAATTCTCTTTTCTTTAGTACCTTTGTGGGGTTTTGTTTGTTTACTGAAATCTTTTATGGCTTTAGTTTTTTGTGTGTGTGCAGTCAAGTAGGGTCCCAGCCCCGATCCCTTGAGATGGTTGTCCACTTGCCCATTTGTCATTAATTGACTAACCCATCTTTCTCCCACTAGTTTGAAATGCTTCCTCTATCATATATAAAACTCCTGTATGCTCTATGTATATCTGTCTATTCCTGGGTGCTCTGTCCTACTAATTGACATGTTTTATTATTTAGTGGACCACTCTCTCCTACCATTAATCTTTTTTCAGAATATCGTTATATGTCCTATATGTTTGAACTCTTTGAATTTTATCATCAGTTAAAAAAAACCCTTACTGGTATTTTTTTTAGAATCAGGCAAAATTAATTAGATATCTAGAGAGTTGACAGCTATATAATATTGAACCCTTTTATCCTAGAACAGGGTTTGTCTGTTAACCAGCGAGCTACAAGTTTTGTTTTCACAGATGTTATGCTTCCCTTGTGTTTACTGTTGTTGCCAGTATAGACAAAATCCATTTTTTCCCATTATATTTCCTCACTGGTGATTGCTTCACTATTAAATTTGTTCCCGGCCACCATACTAAATCCTCACTTTATTTATGATGGTTATTCTGGTTGGTTTCCTTGCATTTTTCAGGTGTGCAGTCATATTATCTGCAAATAGTGATAGTTTTTTCTCTTTTCAATTTTTGTACCTCATTCCTTCCTAATCACATCAGCTAGTTCTTCCAAATCGATGTTACATAATAGCCATGCTTTTTACTTCAATAGGAATGCTTGTGGTGGTTCAGCATTAAGCTTAACGACAGCTTTGGGCTTGAGTTCATACAAATTCACGTGGCTTTAGCTCCAGGTTGAGGCTGAGTGAGGCGAAGCCTCATTGCTGATACTTCACCTGGAGGGGTAATGCCAGGGCCCCGAGAGGGAAGTAACCGCCTTAACCACGGGACACAGCTGAGCCCCTGGCCACATGCGATGTCTCCAGATAGGCTGCCCTTTCAGCAACTGTGGGAGGGAGCCAGGACCCACCTATGGAAAAGAATGGCATCTAGCAGGAGTTGAGCAAAATAATTTGTCGTCGTTCTTTGTTTCTTATTTTGTGTTCTTCTCCCATTTTCTTAAGTTAGTTCCTTAATTTTTTTGATAAAGTTCCTACCACCTCCCTTCCTGACCCAGAACCAACTTTGGGAGTTCTAGTTACCCTCACCTTTCTTTTTTTTTTTTTTTTTTTTTTTCATATATCTTCTCCATATATCCAGAAAATAAATGACGAAATACAAATATTTTATTAAACAATAAAGAGAAAGAAGGTAAACTATTCTCCACAGATCAGAAAAAGGAAGAGAATGTTCAGTCTTACCAGCTCAGAAAACAAAGGGAGACAGTATTATTCATGCCTAGAGATGCAAGTGTGTTAGTTTCTGCTTTATAACAGAGTGAGTCAGTTATACATATATATATGTTCCCATATCTCTTCCCTCTTTGTCTCCCTCCCTCCCACCCTCCCTATCCCACCCCTCCAGACAGCCACAAAGAACCGAGCCGGTTTCCCTGTGCCATGCGGCTGCTTCCCACTGGCTATCTACCTTACGTTTGTTAGTATATATATGTCCATGTCTCTCTCTCGCCCTAACACACCTCACCCTTCCCCCTCCCCATATCCTCAAGTCTGTTCTCCAGTAGGTCTCTGTCTTTATTCCTGTTTTACCCCTAGGTTCTTCATAACATTTTTTTTTTCTTAAATTCCATATATATGTGTTAGCATACGGTATTTGTCCTTCTCTTTCTGACTTACTTCACTCTGTATGACAGACTCTAGATCTATCCACCTCATTACAAATAGCTCAATTTCGTTTCTTTTTATGGCTGAGTAATATTCCATTGTATATATGTGCCACATCTTCTTTATCCATTCATCCGACGACGGGCACTTAGGTTGTTTCCATCTCCGGGCTATTGTAAATAGAGCTGCAATGAACATTTTGGTACATGACTCTTTCTGAATTCTGGTTTCCTCAGGGTATATACCTAGTAGTGGGATTGCTGGGTCATATGGTAGTTCTATTTGTAGTTTTTTTTCCTTGCGTTATGCGGGCCTCTCACTGTTGTGGCCTCTCCCATTTGCGGAGCACAGGCTCCGGACGCGCAGGCTCAGCGGCCATGGCTCACGGGCCCAGCCGCTCCGCGGCATGTGGGATCTTCCCGAAACGGGGCACGAACCCGCGTCTCCTGCATCGGCAGGCGGACTCTCAAGCACTGCGCCACCAGGGAAGCCCACCCTCACCTTTCTTTATTATTTCCTATATTTTTAATGTATGTACTTGAGGGTAAAGTTTTCCCCCAAAGCACTCCTTTAGCTATAGGCCACAGGTATTCATAGTTTGTATTTTTATTATGGTTAATTTGTAGATATTCTACAGTTAAGGACCTGGGCACCTCTTTGGCCCAATAAAGCTTTGAAAGAGCACTTTGAAACTCTTGGTGTTGACTGAGATCATTCTTTTCTTTATTGCCAAGTTTTAGAAGCTTTTTCAGAAGTTCTCATGGGAATCAGTCTTGGAATGTTTGAAAATACATAAATTTCCTTTATACAGAAGCAAAGATGCGAAGTATAAACTAACTTCCTGGAATCATAGTTTGCTCTCTTGATACTTTAACGTTATTCTCCTAGCCCCGGATGTAGTTACTGAAAAAGAGTGAACCCATACGAATTTTCCTCCCTTTCGGTGGTGATGTAACCATTCTGCCTGGAAGCCAAAAGGATTCTTTACCTTTCACGGCTATGAACTTCCTTGGCCATGTTTTAGTTTTGCTCAGGCTATATCAATCAATCACTTTTTCCTGAGACATGTTATGCTCTTTTGAGCTCTAGAATTAAAACTTTGTTGTCCCACGTGTTTAGTCTCTTCTCATCGGGCACATGGACGTTTCACATCAGTTTTATTGCTTCAGATACAGCCTTCCTTTCTTTCTTTAATGGCTTAAATGTCATTTCTATCCTTGAGCTTTTGTATCTGTGTTTGGTAAATATTTTCTTCTCAGCAGCATACATTTTCTGTTACAAAATTTTCATCTGAAGTTTGTTCCTCTCTTTTTCTCGCAGCATTTTTAGTAAGTCTCAGTCTTGATTCATTTTTACTTAGAGTTTTTAAAATTACTGTAGGACAGTTTGAGAAAGGGGCCTGACAATTCCTAGTAAACTGGCAGAGTGTTTATGATTGTGATGCTCCTTCAGGAGCAGTCTTCTAAATGCCTAAAGATTTTTTCTCTGTATTTCTTCATAGGGAGATGAGCATTTCCATTTGTACCTACCTCATATGGTGACTGTAAAGATTAAATTAATTAGGAGAAAGTTCTAAAACACTAGCTGGTGCATTCTGAGAATTCAGTGAATGTTCATTATTTGCTATAGATGCTACTTTTTTCTTTTTTTTGCGGTACGCGGGCCTCTCCCATTGCGGAGCGCAGGCTCCGCGGCATGTGGGAACTTCCCAGACCGGGGCACGAACCCGTGTCCCCTGCATCAGCAGGCGGACTCTCAACCACTGCGCCACCAGGGAAGCCCTAGATGCTACTCTTAATCATCAAAGAAAGATGGAGTTTGGTCTCTTTTTTGTTGGTTTCAGGTGGTATCTTTCTCCTGTACTCTGAAATCGTCTTAAACCCAGAAGTCAAAAACATGTACTTGATAGTTTCTCTCAAGGAATGAGCAGCAAGACCAGGTGGCATTGTGAAATCCGAAGGGTGACAGATGTAAATAGGCACTCAGGTACCTTCTGCAGACCCTGCACTTGTACTTACAGAGGTAGGGTAAGTGCTCTGAGAATCCAAATGTCATGGTCTTTGCTGGAGAACCATGAGCAAATAGCAGAGCCACAGCATCTGCAAAGGCCGGTCATAGTAAAATTAAGATTAGTGAGGTCGCCCTTCTTTTTGCTTGGAGTGGAAGTCAAAAGGGTACCACACACTTTCATCTGCCCTACTTTAGCCATGTGGCTCCCACTGTATCAGCCCTTCACTTGAGAATGGACAGTTTTGAGCTCGTTTGTTTTATCACTGAAGACTTGGAGGCTGAGAGGGAGAAAGAGACAGGCCCAAAGTACTTACCTAGGAGGTGGGCAAGCCCAGAGTTAAGGTGTCACCCTTGTGTCCCTCTAGATCTCTTCTGTATCTTCATAGTTGTCCCTTGAGGCCTGTGTTTTACTTGCCTGGGGTAGTGAGCCATGAGGTCGGAAGTAGCCATTCTAAGCGTCTTTCTATCCTGCAGTAAGACCTGGGGTAGATTAAGTATTTGTCCTAGTCTGTGGATTCAGCACACGTACCCACTAGTAACCTTTTATCCTGGTTCTCAGCTCATAGAAGTCTTGGCTGATAAGAGACTTTTTTCTTTATATAAAGAAGTAAAGAATGAAATCACTGACTAGACACTTGGTATTTGCTTAAATGGTTGGTGGGAAGAAAGATTCCTATACAGGGCAAGTAGCCCCCAAATACTACTTTAAGTACCCAGTGGTATAAAATGTTGTTTTGTAAAATTAGTGCCACTAACGGCCTGGATTTGTTTTGCTACATAGTAACAGCAGATGGAGTAATTCCACTCCCAGGTGTGTCATTGTCTCCATTTCATGTCAAGAGTGAAGCCAGTCATTAGCAATCATATCCCTTACCATCCGGAAACTGACTTTCATAAATTATTTTTAGGTCTCCCTTGCCAGAATGAAATGAACAGGATTCAGAAGGTGAACAAGGGGAAAAGCCTGTTGGGTAAGTACCATTTCTTGCCACTCATTTAAACAACTAATTAAACCATCCGTGTCTCTTGTAATATTGAGCACAGCCATGGTTATTCAATTAGGGACCAGTGTCCCTCACTGCCTCATATTACCCGAGACAGGGCTCTTCCAGGAAGCTGGTACTATGCGGTAGTCCACAGGACATACTCTGAGGATCAGTTAGCTGGCTGAGAAACGCTGCATGCTCCATCAGCGGGAGGAGACGTCAAAGGTCAGCCCATGACCAGTGGGCAGGTGACCGGGCTGAAATCGAGCTAACCCCTCACTGATCTTGGCTTTTCCTTCTTTGGCCATTAAACGGAGCTCTCAAGGGTTCCTTCCAAGTTAAAATGATAAGATCTATAAATTATAGAATTTCCAACATTCTGCAGATCAAGTTGTCCATTCAAGGAGGACGATGAGCTGAGTCCCCTCTAAATTTATCAGACAGGGTCCAAGGACTCGAGTGCACTTAAACACATTTCTGTTTCACGTGCATGATCACTGGACCCTGTCTACGTTTCTCCTCTTTTGTCCAAATGTTGAGGTGGAAGCAAGTGGGTTGTGCGAGTGTGTTTTTTCCCTGACATGCAAATCTGTGGCCAAGGTAACAAATGCTGGCTGTTGAAGGTTCCCTTTAGCTCCACACCCTCCTTTCTGCAGCACGCAGACCAGGTCGTTGCTGAGACATCAGAGACACCTCATTTGTTTGCCCAAAAAAGAGCCTGCACTGCTTCCCTTGCTTTTTAAAAAGAGAGATGACAGCTACAACACGAATTATTCTTGTTAAACATTCAGAAGCAGGTTCACCCCCTAAACAGCCTGCCGTTTCAGGCGTTTATCTATTTTCTTGAAGGAAACGGGCAAGTTTTTTGCAGATTGGTCTGTGAACTCTGGCCATGTCTCTTCATCTGATGTTTGTGCCACCTCAAAGTGCATCTTATCTCCTTCCTTCTACTTTTGAAAACTACGTATTTCACTGGCTTGCCTTAGACTTCCCACTTCTGATAACAGCCTTTTCAGCTCACCAAGAACTCCACAGTCGTTGTGATCTGGACCTGAGTGTAGGTTCTTCTCCAGTGTTGAAGACATAAAAGCATCTTTCTGGATCTCTCTTCCATTGGGGCTTTCCTCCAGTGCAAGGACTTGTGCTCAATGATCTGATTCTTCCATGTGCGAGGTTATTTTGGGTTTGAGTGAGTGATGTGCTTAAGAGAACTAACAGAGAGTGCTATTTTTGGATGCATGGATATCTTCTTACTGTTTCATTGATAATGAGATATTTTTAAAGTATGTGGGGCCTCAGATAAAATGTCTCATCTTTTATTTTCCCCAGTTCACAGGAATGAAAGGCCTATCTTTTTCCTACTGTGAATCCCACCTAGTTTTAAAGCTCACCTTACCACATCTCCCCACATAGGGATATTATTCCAGCTGACTCATAAAAATACCATTTATCTGCATACAAATTATTTTTTGCAGGGGGAAATCTAATATAACACATGTGTATTCAGGGGCATTCAGATTCCTAGCAGAAACAAGCAATAACAAATTACAGTCAGTTATAATTACTGCCTACTTAGGAAAAAAACGGTAATTCTATTACCTTATAGATATAGAGCAGCACCTGCTTCCTACCAACCTGGGGCCTCAAGCCAGTATATATATACATTTTTTTTGGGGGGGGGGGCATCTATTAACTGCTCTTGTTTTCCAACTGCAGCTCAAGGAGGAGGATCAGCATTTCCTCACCTTTCTACTTGTTCTCAAAAGAAAGCATCTGCTTTTTTTTTTGGTCCTTCCTTCTGTTCCCTGAAGACCAGGGGTGCTGTGCACTGGCTGAGCAACTAAGAGTATGGGCACTACTCCTAATTGCAGCACCAGCAGACTTACCTGTCACTTAGGAGGGATTTTTCTGGGGGCAACTTCCTAGCTGTGATCTTTGAGAATGTGGTCATCTTGGAATAGCTTGGTGAGCAGTTGCTAGAATCAGCTGGATCTGAGGTGACTGTCTGCCATGCCACTCTTCTTTCCAGATCTGTTTTATGAAATAAAATAAAAGGTCAATTTAAAAACACAGTCACTCTCAAAAAATCACAAATAAAATTAGGCAGTAGAAGCCAGTGGTAAGCAGAAACATCCATCATCACATGGCTGATTAATGTTACTACTCAGGTTACACTGAGGGGAATTGTCCCATAGTAGATGAGCACACAATCATCAAACAAACAAACACACATGCCCCCTAAGAAAAATGAAAACTAAAAACTGTCATAAATATTACCTACAGTTGAGTGAGAATCAGATTGGTATCACTGATTTAAGAAGAGAAAATATTGTCTTCAGAGTGCTGAGAGGAAATCACTTTGAACCTAGAATGTTAAATTTATCTCAGTGATCATCCAAGTGTGATGACAGACATATTCCATCCAAGTGTGATGACAGACATATTCTCAAACCACAGATTCAGTAAGCTTACTAACCACAGACTTACTAAAGGTTTTAATATGCAGAAGACAATACCAGAAGGAATTACTGAGATACAATGTGGAAAAGAAATAAGGCATGCTGCTAAATCTAAACAAATATGAACTATAAAAATGTTTTGATATCAAGGTAGAATTAACATTTCAGACTGTTGGGGGTCAGTGAGAAAAATGTGTCTGGTTTATTCACGAATAAAAGAAAATATAGATTAACTTTAGATTTTATTAAGAAAAATGTGATTCTCAGTGACTATTTTAAGGTAACAGTAAAAATGTTGGAAAAAGAATATATAGTTTTTAAACCTATGGAAGACAACCATAGAATAAAGAAAACTTGATCATTTCAACAGAAAGCAGGAAAGGGGGAAGACAGCAAACACAAAATACAGTGGTAGATATAAAAACATGCATATCTGTACTCACCATAAATGTGACTGGGCCAAACTCATTTATTATGAGACAGAGACTGAGAAAATCTGACAAGAGCAAATACTTTGTTTTCAATCCTTAAGAGAAAGAGGTATTATTATCTTGCTGAAATGTTACATTTACTATGTTGTTATGTCATCAGTTGGTATACCCATAACTTTAAAACAAAATGTAACATTATAACAATTGTAACTATAGATGTAACCAACATAGGAGCACTCAATATATAAGGCAAATACTAACAGACATAAAAGGAAAAATTGACAGTGACACAATAATAGTGGGGGACCTCACCCCACTTTCATCAGTGGACAGATCATCCAGATAGAAAATCAATAAGGAAACACAGGCCTTAAATGATATTTATACAGCATTCCATCCAAAAGCAGCAGAATACACAGTCTTTTCAAGTGCACATGGAACATTCTCCAGGATTGATGACATCTTGGGTCACAAAGCAAGCCTTAGTAAAGTTAAGAAAATTGCAGTCACTTTCAAGCACCTTTTCTGACCACAGTGCTGTGAGATTAGAAATCCACTATAAGATAAACACTGGAAAAAAAGCACAAACATGTGGAGGCTAAACAACCAATGGATCACTGAAGAAATCAAAAAATACCTAGAGACAAATGACAATGAAAACAGGATGATGCAAAAGCAGTTCTAAGAGGGAAGTTTATAGCAATATAATCTTACCGCAGGAAGCAAGAAAAGTCCCAAATAAACAACCTAACCTTATGCCTGAAGCAACTAGAGAAAGAAAGAAAAACAAAACCCAAAGTTAGTAGTAAGGAAAGAAATCATAAAGATCAGAGCAGAAATAAATGAAATAGAAACAAAGAAAACAATAGCAAAGATCAATAAAACTAAAAGCTGGTTCTTTGAGAAGATAAACCAAATGGATAAACCCTTTGACTCATCAGGAAAAAAGTGGAGAGGATGGAAATCAATAAAATTAGAAATGGAAAAGTTACAACTGACACCACAGAAATACAAAGGATCCTAAGAGACTACTACAAGCAATTATATGCCACTAAATTGGACAACCTAGAAGAAATGGACAAAATCTTAAAAAGAATTGAACCTTCCAAGACTGAACCAGGAAGAAATAGAAAATATGAACAGACCAATCACAAGCACTGAAATTGAAAGTGTGATTAAAAAATTCCCAACAAACAAAAGTCCAGGACCAGATGGCTTCACAGGTGAATTCTATCAAACATTTAGAGAAGAGCTAACACCCATCCTTCTCAAACTCTTCCAAAAAATTGCAGAGGAAGGAACACTCCCAAACACATTCTATGAGGCTACTGTCACCCAGATACCAAAACCAGACAAAGATACCACAAAAAAGAAAATTACAGGCCAATATCACTGATGAATATAGATGCAAAAATCCTCAACAAAATACTAGCAAACTGAATCCAGCAATACATTAAAAGGATCATATGCCATGGTAAAGTGGAATTTATCCCAGGGCCACAAGGATTTTTCAATATCCACAAATCATTCAGTGTGATACACCATGCTAACAAAGTGAAGAATAAAAACCATATGATCATGTCAATCCCAAACTCCCAGTCTATCCCTCCCCCACTCCCCCTGGTAACCATAAGTTCATTCTCTAATTCTGTGAGTCTGTTTGCTTTCTAAATAAGTTCATTTGTATAGGTTTTTTTTGGATTCTGCATATAAAGCAATATCATATGATACTTGCCTTTCTCTGTCTGACTTCACTTAGTATGATAATCTCCAGGTCCATCCATGTTGCTTTTCAATGGCTGAGTAATATTCCATTGTTTCCATATATCACTTATATGCAGAACCGAAAAAAATGATACAAACAAACTTATTTACAAAACAGAAGCAGACTCACAGACATAGAAAAACTTATGATTACCGAAGGGGAAAGGTGGAGGTGGGGAGGGATAAACTGGGAGTTTGGGATGGACACGTACACACTACTGCATTTAAAATAGATAACCAACAAGGGTCTGCTGTGTAGCACAGGGAACACTGCTCAATATTCTGTAATAACATAAATGGGAAAAGAGTTTGAAAAAGAACTGATACATGTATACTCTGCTGCACACCTGAAACTCACACAACGTTGTAAATCAACCATAGTCCAATATAAAATAAAAATTTAAAAATAAGAACACACACAAAGTAACAGAACTGCAAGGAGGAGTTGTCATATCTATAGCCTAATCAGAGACTCTAATATACCTCTTCTTGAAAACTTACAGTTCAAGTATACAAAAGAAGAAATGAACAACGTAATTCATTCGCATTTTTATATATGCATTCCTGTATATGTACACAGGCATAGAATAGACAGTCTGTTCAAACACACATGACATTTGTCACGGACTACACAAAAGAAAACTAAAACTAAACACCTCAAAAAAGTATCATAGATGATATTCTCTACAACACAATACAAACAGAAGTAAAAAATGAAGTTACACAACCTTATATGTCTGGGTTTTTTTTAAAAAATAGTCAAAGATGAAATAAAGTAAAACTACAAAACATTTAGACCTGAATGAAAATGAAACCACTATGTGCCAAAAACAGAGAAGCAACTAAAATGAAACTTAGAGGAACATTCATAGCTTCAAATGCATTTCTGGAAAAAAAATAAAACTAAAATTTCAAATCAAAAAGCTATAAGGACAATTACAGTTAAGACTAAAGCAAAAAGAAATCAAATAGACAAAACTTTGACAATGTGAAAGCCTGAAATAGTCTCATGAATTTAAAAATGGGCTGGAAGCTCAGATATAGATGAATAGTATAAATCTGTAGTTCTCAAACTTCACAGTTTGAGAACTACAGAAACACTTGGAGAGTTTATTAAAGCATAGTTCGCTGGGCCCCACTCTCAAAGTCTTTAATTCAGTAGGTTTGAGGTGGGCTCAAGAACTTGCTTTTCTAAGCAGTTTGTTTCCCAATGATGATGCAGCTGCTGGTCCTGGGCCCACACTTTGGAAACCATTGCTATAAACCAACTTACAGCAATTACGAAAACCTAGTTGAAAAGGATACTATGAGTATGGGTCATGAAGAAAAAGAAGACCCAACAGGATTAAAAAAAAAAACATAAATTTTAAATCAAAATCAAAATACTACTGTCACCTCCTAAAATAGGCACCAGGCTCAAAATATTTTTATGGGTGAATCCATGGAAGAGATCATTCTCATTTTATACAAAACATCTGCAGTACAGAAAAAGAAAAATACCTGAATCACTTTACAAATTAGTTGCTTTGATACAGAAATTGAAGAAACAAAACTATATGCCTTTATCACTTAGTAACATAGATGCAAAAGGTTCAGCAAATTGAATCCAATATATCATGACCAAGGAGTATTTATTCCAGGAAAGCAAAGATATATTTTTAAAAATTGTGCCACTCAGTAAAAGCATATAAAGGATAAAAAATCCTATGATTCTCTCAAGTATTAATGTTATTGAATCAGGAAGGAATAGAAAATCTGAACAGACCAGTTGCTAGTGAGGAGATTGAATCAATAATCAAAAATCTCCCAAGAAAGGAAAGACCAAGAGCAGATAGCTTCACTGGTGAACTTGACCAAATATTTAAAGAAGAATTAACACCAATCCTTCTCCAACTCTTCCCAAAGAACTTCAGAGGAGGGAACACTCCGAAACTCATTTTATGAAGCCAGCATTACCTTGATACTAAAGCCAGAAAAAAAACACTACAAGAAAAGAAAACTACAAGCCAATATCCCAGATGAATATAGATGCAAAAATTCTCTAGCAGCACATTAAAGGAAAGGAAGATGTAAAATTTTCTTTGTTTGCAGATGATACGATTTAACCAAGGAGGTGAAAGATCTCTATGCTGAAAACTGTAAGACACTGATGAAAGGAATCCCATATTCATGGATTAGAAGAATTAATATTGTTAAAATGTCTGTACTACCCAAAGTCATGTATAGATTCAAAGCAATTTCTATAAAGATCCCAGTAGCATTTTTTTTTACAGAAACAGAAACACAATCCTAAAATTTATATGAAACCACAAAACCCCCAAATAGCCAAAGCAACTCTAAGAAAGAACAAAGAACACTTCCTGATTTCCAGCTGTATTATAAAGCTATAGTCAACAAACAAGGTTGTACTGGCATAAAAATAGACACATAGAGTAACAGAACATAACTGAGAGCCCAGAAATAAACCCATACATATACAATCAACTAATATATTCAAAAGACAGTCTCTTCAAGAAATGGTGCTGGGAAAATTGGATTTTCACATGTAAAAGAATGAAACTAGACTCCTATCTTACACTTAGACTCTATCTATCTTAGACTCTTATCTAACTTGAAATTGATCAAAGACCTAAATGTAAGACTGGAAACAATAAAACTGGTAGGAAAAAAACACAGGAAAAAAGTTCTTGACATGGGCCTTGGCAGTGAGTTTTTGCATATGACACCTAAAACACAAGCAACAAGATCAAAAATATGTGGGACTACATCAAACTTAAAAGCTTCTGTGCAGCAAAACAATCAACAAAAGGAAAAGACAACCTATGGAATGAGAAGAAATATTTGCAAACCATATATCAGATAAGGGGTTAATATCAATATATATAAAGAACTCATACAACTCAATAGCAAAAACAAAACAAACAAAAAATTCCACAAATAATTCAATTTGACAAATGGACAAAGGAACTGAATAGACATTTTTTTCAAAGAAGATATTCAAATGGTCAACAGGTACATGAAAAGGTGCTCAGCCTCACTAATCATCAGGGAAATGCAAATCAAAACCACAATAAGATATCAGGTCCTGCCTGTTAGAACGGCTATCATGAAGAAGACAAGGGATAACAAATGTTGGCAAGGATGTGGAAAAAGGAGAACCCTTGTGCACTGTTGCTGGGATTATAAATTGGTGCAGCCCTATGGAAAACAGTATGGAGGTTCCTCAAAAAGTTAAAGATAGAACTACCATATGATCCAGCAATTCCACTTCTGGGAATATATCTGAAGGAAATGAATATACTATGTCAAAGAGATATCTGCACACCCATATTCATGGCAGCATCATTTACATTAGCCAAGATGTGGAAACAACCTAAGTGTTCATCAACAGATGAATGGCTAAAGAAGTTCATATATGTTTATATATATATATATATATATATATATATGTATACACACACACACACACACATATATAAATATATATGAACAGAACATCATTCAGCCAGAAGAAAGAAGGAAATCCTGCCAATTGTGATGATATGGATGGACTTTGAGGGCATTATCCTAAGTGAAGTAAGTCAGACAGAGAAAGAAAATACTGTATGATCACTTGTATGTGTAATCTAAAAACAAACTTTGAGACTGGTGGTAAACACAGGCAGAGTATGGGCAGTGGGAAAATTGGATGAAGGTGGTCCAAAGGTACAAACTTCCAGTTATAAGATAAATAAGTACTGGGATATAACATACAACGTGATATCTATAGTTAACACTGCTGTATGGTAGATACGAAAGTTGCAAAGAGTAAATCCTGAGAGTTCTTCTCCCAAGGAAAAAAACTTTTTTTTTCTATATGAGATGATGGATGTAAATTAAATTTACCGTGGTAATCATTTCACAATATATAAGTCAAATCATTGTGCTATACACCTTAAACTTATCCAGTGCTGTGTGTCGATTATATGTCAATTACATTTCAATAAAACTGGAAAAACTTCTGAAATAAAAAGTTATTAATAAGAGTAGAACCACAGGGAAAAAGAGAACTCATCCAAGAAGGAATCCTATCTAACCTTGAGCAAGTCCTAGGGCCCTGTAATTTTGATTAGGTAATAACCAAGCATGCCATTCTTTCTTGCTGGCTTTGCAGTAAATACCCTGTCCGATGTGTGAGCCCTCTTGTCTGTTTTTGAGGGCATTAACTCTGAGTATCTGTGCACTTCTCTGATTCAAGTTGGACCTTTCGTTCTCCCAGGAGCATTCATACCTCGGTGTAATGAGGAGGGCTATTACAAAGCCACACAGTGCCACGGCAGCACAGGGCAGTGCTGGTGTGTGGATAAATACGGGAACGAGCTAGCTGGCTCCAGGAAACAGGGTGCGGTGAGCTGTGGTGAGTAAGGCCTGCTGCATCCGCCCCCAATGACCTCTGGTGACTTAGAGGTACTCACTGTATGAGGATCTGGGCAGAAGAATTTGTAGAGGTCGTTATGGTTTACAGTGAGTGAGTTTACAATGGAGATAAAGTAACCCTGAAATCACACGAGATAATGCATAGCTAGTTTTCCGAGTGCCAGGAGCTCACTATGGCCAATGAACTAGACAACAGTTTTTGACAGTCAGAAACGGCTGCAGATAAACCTCCCAAAAAGGTAGAAACATCTCAAGAATCTGGGGCTCATATCAGAATAAAGCTTGTGGTCCATGCCAGGTAGACAGGGATGCTCTCATGTTCAGAAGGTAAATTGCATGATTTTGCCCTACAGTTAAGGAAGTCATGAGGCATAAGAAGAACCTAACCTCAGATCTTTTCTTCCTTCTTAATGTTTCAGAAGAGGAGCAGGAAACTTCAGGGGATTTTGGCAGTGGCGGCTCTGTGGTCCTGCTGGATGACCTAGAGGATGAATGGGAGCTGGGACCAAAGGACAAAGTGGGGAAGCTGCGGGTGCACGCCCGGGCAGCGACGGAGGATGATGAGGACGAGGGCGACGAGAAAGAGGACGAGGTCGGGTACATATGGTAGTTCCCACGAGGAGGAGGACACGAGGTTTGCACAACACTGCAAGTCACTTCCTGTTCCTGCATTTGTATCTAAGACTCCGCGGCACATGGCCTCTTCTCCATTGTTGCCCTCTCTACCCAACCTAAGGTTCGGAAGACAACTCCTTGTTCCCGGAGCGTTCTGATTTTGCATACGGCGTGTGGGAAAAAGGGTGTTGTGTTTTGTTTTTTAGACAGGGGAAGGCTGGCTGAATTAGAGCCTCCTTCCCTCCCGTGAGATTTTTGCAACAAGCATGTGATTTATGTGGGATTCTGACAGTGCAGGGAGCCCCTACCCTCAAACGTCAAAGACCCTTTGCGATCACTGACACTGGTGGTTAGTACAGCATGGTTCCCGGCCTTACCGTGTCTAAGTGCTTTTCTTGTGTCCTGTAGATGTTGTGGAAAACACACTGCACTGTACCTTGTTCCCACTGCCCCCCACCACCCCTGGTGTCTATTATTACAAATTAGTTTTTCACATTACTCGATCTGGCTTCCTACAAACAACAGCCTTAATTCAGTCAAGAGTCCCTTTGGGGAACTGATCTCCTTTATTAGAAAAGGTGTCTGGATGCTTCTCTCTGTACGTACGTACATAAATATGTACGTACGTACAGAAGAGACTATACACATCTCTCAGAAAAAAAGGGTTTGGCTATCTATTAAAAACTCATTTGAAAAACAATTACACATTTGTCAGCTTGTCCAGACCTGGACCATCATTTCTGGAATAGGAAATGTGTATCAAAGTCCTATTTTGCACTAACAGTTGGCACTTGTAGCCTGCAGACTGAGGAGGCTGCTTCTGTCTGCGGCAGCAGAGTTATTGGAAGCCTCTTTGATTTGGATAAGCCTCTGTCTGCCTAAATTGCTTTCCTCACAGAAGCCATGCGACTCCCACGCGGGCAGCTTCACAAGCCATCTCTCATTTCAGCTCAAGCCCCCCTGGGGCTTGCAGCAGTCCTGTCTGCGGCAGGCCCCTCCCTTCCTACCTACTCAAGGGCTTTTTCTAAGGCATGTACACATACCCTCTGCTCTCTGAGAAGACAGTCCCTCGCTGTTCCTTAGCAGAAGAAAATTCAGGATTCTTAACTCAATGTTTCAGTTTTGCCGCTCTCTATCCACACATCGTGATGAGGCTATAAAAGCTCTACAGATTTTTGATCGCTCATCATTTGTAAAGAATCTCAGATGGAGGCCTAGAAAGAACTCCATGACAGCACATGGGAAGCTAGGGCTAGATTTTTAAGAGTTAGTCCTGCCCTCATCCCCTCCCCGACACAAGTGTCAAGGTACTAATGAAGAAAGCCCTTTACCATTGCGTTTCTTTTCCCTAAGTTAACTCATGATTAGGGTCTATCTCCAAATTTGGTAGGGTCATCATCTCTATAGTCTTTAGGATTTCTCCCCCTGTCAAGCTGGCCCCTGTACAAGTACCAAAGAGTAGTCTTCAAAGTGGCCCCATTTAGCTCAGTACAGGGCCTTAAGCTCCTGCCCCACCCAGTTTCCACCCACATGGATGCCCTCATCAGCCAGCCAGCAAGGAGGCTCTCTTGCCCACATTTGTTTTTCTTGCCTTCTTGCACTCCAGCTAGTCCACAAGGAGACCACATAAACTCAGGCGAAAAATATACTCAGCCAAACCATGATTACAGCGGCAGCTGACCAGCCCCCACTCCAAACTGACCATTTGTTTATACTTTACCAGCCCACCTCAAACTAGTATTTTCCAGTCCCTGCATTGGCCAGACCCAGTGGCATTATCCCTGGACTTGGCTCAGATGGGACATGAACTTACTTGATATGGCAAACTCATTTGGCTTGATAGAATGAGTACAGCCAGGACCCTAGGTATCGGGTGACCATAGGCAAGCTCTGTATTGGGATCTCAACTCCTTCACCTCTGTTTCAGTTTTTTGTTTTTGTTTTTTTCTCACTTGAACAAAACCCTGAGATGATAATTTAGAAAACAGATGCTTAATTGCAGCTAAATTACAATCGAATGTATAAAAGAATCAAGACATATTTAAAAAATCTCAGTTTAGACCATCAAAGAAAACCATGGTCACTATCTCCTCTGAGCTTGGAAAAATGCAAAAGAGAACAAATTAAAATCGACAAATTGATTTCACTTAGAGAAACTTCTAGGAACAGAGTGAACCACACTGATTTTAATTTGCCTAATTATCTTATGACAAGTGTCAAATTAAGATGACACTTAAAGATCCTTAGCATTAACTTAATGATGGAGAAGAGTGCTCACTAGTCAATTCCCAGGAAGGTAATGAGATGCTCATTGTCAGAGACATTCCAAGAAGATATTTTGATTCATTAAAATATTAAATAAAAAGCCCTCCTAAGACTGGAACCCCAAATCAATGGAGCAACATTAACGCCACTTTTCATGCCTCACTTTGGCAAGACAGCATTAGAGTTTTTTAAAGGTACTTTGCATAAGTAGTAAAGATTTGATATTTTAGTTACTTCATCCTTAGAAGAAGAATTTTTGCTTTCCTCTTTTTTGGCAGGAGCCCTTTAGCTAGTGATGGAGTATACATAAAAATCTTGATTAAAAAAAAACAGTACTGTGATAATCATTCCCTTGTTGGAGACAGATATAGAGTTGAAACTTCACTGGCTCATTTTTGGAACCTCCTTAGTAAATAGTTATATTCTTATTCCATAAATGGTTCTTTTCTTTGATACCATTTCCTTGGCATCTAAGTTAAGCCCCAGAATTTTCTTCCACAATGGTTAGTTGTCTAACATATTACTGTCTTTTTGTTTCCACGAACATTCTAGGCATGGGAATACCTTCACACTGAATTCGAGATATTATATCAGGTCCTCCTCCTTTATGCCCATTTTCCCATGCCCAGCACTGAATGACAGCATGTCTGTCCAGGTCTGCCTCTCTCCTCTTCACGGGATGCCATCTACAGTTTTGTTTAGTTTTTACCTTGACCACACTGTACAGTAACATCCAAGAGCCCTTTCTACAGTGGGTGGTTTTGGTCTTTTTATACCTTTTTCTCAAAGTCACTGATGTTTGTCTCTGTTCAGTGTGTAGTATTGTAATGAGAGCCCCTCAAATCCTGAGTGTCAGTTTGTTGTCCCTACTGTAGATGAAATAGCGAAGTAGAACAACCTAGTAAATTCTGAATGCTTTTCCCACATAGACTTATCTGGAATGTGAACACGACTCTTTGGTTAATAGTAAATGCTTAACTGTAGTCCTGAGCAGGTGCATTTCTGTCTGTTTCAATAAATTTTAATTTGTCTGCAACACCTGAGTGTTTGTGTTTTGTTAGGTTGCAGGTGCACTCGCCAGGCCATGTCCACACATGACCTCTGGAGAAGAGTATGGGCAGGTCAAGGGGATCACCCTCAGCAGAGGGCCCTCTGTGAGGCCAACCTCACAGGCTGTGGTGCTCCAGCCTGTCCTGACCCCTCTCAGCACACCCTGGCGCATCCATGCCCTGTGCCCCCTCAGCCTAGAAGCTTCTCACCCGACCCCTCTTTCTGCCGCGTTCTCTCTCAAGCCACAACTTTCTTACTTAGTCCTTATCCATCAGGTTTCACTGTTGTCATCCTGTTTGCAACCTTAAGCTTTTTCAATTCTTCTTCCTTCCCTCCCCAGTCAGTCATTCTCCAATTCTCTTGGGAAAAAAAAAACAACCCCAAAATCTCCTTTACAGGGACTCTGAGATGTCCTCAGTTTATGGCTGAACACACCAGAGGCCTGTCAAACATCAGAAAACACCCAAATTGGAACAGGAATTATTTCCTTTCCACCTTTATCCACATTAAAGTCAGGGTATCTATGACTTAATTATACCCTGAGTGAGTAATTTCACCACCAGCCGAGGTAGAAACTATCTTATGAATAACTCTAATTCTTTACCCAATGGACTGCATCTTACAGACAATTTACAAATTGACAGTTCAAGGAAAGGTGCTTCATAAATCCACAAAATAACTAAGGTCGGAAGAACAGTGGCCAATATGAAGCCCCCAGGGTAGGTACAGGGTACCTTAAAGAGCAGCTGGCATTTCCGGACACTCCCACAATTCCTCTTAAATCATCAGATTTACAGTCAAACCCCACATGTCTCCTCAAGTTGTGTCTTCATGGAAGCCACCTCTGTCCGTTAAAGGCCAGGACCAAAGGAATCTTAGTTATACAGCGTGAGTAAAAAGGTCCCAGCACCTCTCAAAATTCTGGATCAGTTTTCAGATTTGCTTTGACAAACTGATTCAAGGAAAGAGGAAGATTTCAAAATTTATTCATTCAACAAGACTTTAAGGTTAATTAGAAGATTTGTAGATATATAGATTAATATATGATGGATGGATGAATGCCACTATGGGCAGGCACCACATTCAGTGCTAGGAATATATCAAGAAAAGTGAATAAGACCTAGGGGGTCCTGCTCTGTAAAGTTATCTCCTTGAAAAAGACAAATAACTGTTACAGTATGGGTTGATGGATATCACAGTTGACACCAATGGCTACTTCAGCCTTGTTTAAAGCTCACCTTTCCTGGTTTCTCATATCCATCATTCCCTGATTTTCATCCGACCTCTCTGGCTATTCCTTTTAGGTCTCCTGTATTTCCGTTTGTTCACCCAGTTCTGTTCATACAGGTGTTCCTCAGATCTGTGTCCCTGGGCCATTCCTCTTGAATTTTACATGCTTTCTCTAGACAATCTTATCTACATCAGTGGTTTCAACCAACTCCTCCACTTGGAGAAGCCCCGGTCTATGTTTCAAGTGCAGGTTTTGATTCCATTCTGAAAAAGTCACCTGACATTTAGATAATTCTACTCAAATTTCCCATTAACACCTCAATTTTAAACCTTAAAACATCAAAATGATAGAATGAAATATAGAGTGAATATGCCTATGAAAATAGGAGTCAGCAAGGCTTCTTTAAAAACAATTCCTAGCAAACGTGAGCCATAAAGGAATAGATTAATAAACTTTCCTCCATCAAAATTAATAGCATGTCACGAACAAATTTAAAAGATAAACGAGAGACTAAAGAAGATAATGAGGACATAAAACAGATATATAATTTTTTAACTCCTACAAATCCATAAGAAAAATATAATTCAACAGACTAATGGGGAAAGATAAAAACAAGCGAGCCTTGGAAGACACAGATGGCAAAGAAACCATGCCTAACCTCACTCATGATCAGAGAAACACAAATTAAGCAATGATCCCTCAGTTTCACTCAGAAAAAAATCATGATCATGTCAAGTGTTGTTGAGAGTGCAGTATAAGGAACACTCTTACACACTGTACAGTCCAATCAGCCATTGGGGGGCAGTTTGGTAATAACTATATAAGTAAGAGTAAATACTCTAGGACTGAATAATTCTACTTCTCAGTAAT